CATCATCATCATCATCATCATCATCATCATCATCATCATCATCATCATCTTTCTCTTCCTCCTTGGCATTTATACAGCACTTCAAAGTGAGATTTGAATTCAGGTCTGCCTAACTGCAGATCTAGCACTTAGATCCCTCATGGTCTTTCTAGACTTGGTAGATGCTCACAGAAAGTTGCCATAACTCAAAAATATGTCCCCTTAAGACAGTCTGGTGAGAGACCCTTCCAAATGTAGATACAATGGTTCTCAGATGACACACCACTGGATCCATATTTGAAATATTTCCTGCTTAGCAGGACCTCTCAGAACTTGCTCTCCATTGTCACAGTGGAGGAAAGACTCAGGGTTATCTGCATGCTATAATATTACACGAGGTGGGTGTTTTAAATGAGGCATCTAAGTGACATGAGGGGAAAACTTTGACTATTAAAAAAAACTTTCTTTCCTAAAAAGAATAGTAATAATAATACTAATAATGATAAAGCAATGTTTTACTTTTATAGACTGTCATCACTGTCACCCATTGCTCCTTACATTAAGCTATATTATGTAACTGGCATTTTGCAAATCAATCTTATTTCAAGGGCTCTCCCTGCAGCTTCCCCTTTGGATCACATTTCATGAAATCTGTCATTGTTACTTGTTAGCAAAGGTTTTTGTGGTTGGTTTCTGATGGTTTTCATCCTATACTTGATGTACCACAGGACAGTTGAAATAATTATCTCTTTAATACTGAATTTATTTAAAAGACAGAAGCCTGGAAGGTGGGCTTCCAAGAAGAGAAATAATGATAGTATACGGTCTTCATATGTAAGAACTATAGATGTATGTATGTGAATATATATGTACATATACATACATATGACATATGTGTATACATATGCACTCATACAAATAATTTTCTATTCTTTGTTTCATTGGTTACCAAAGACTAGGACATTGTGAAATATATGATTAATAAAGAAGAAAGACTGGTTCTTGCAGTGAGAGCAAGAGATGACCAGTTGACAGTCTCTGTGTTCTATGTGGTCTATTCACAGTATCAAGAAAAACTGATAAGGGAAACTCAGCACATTGCACAGGAGGGGAGGACATAGATAAAGAATTCCACAGAATGAGCGGGTATAGGTGAGTTGTAATCTGTATTGTTGGAATGTCCACATTGATGAGATCTCAGATCCATTGGAAAATATGATTACAATTTCCTACTGAGGCAATGTTGAATCATGGAATGGAGGGAACCTATGATCACAGAAGAGCAGTCAAACATAGCCCAAGACATAGAAAGCCCTACCAGGACAGAGGGTGAGTAGGGGACTAGGAAAGGACTGTGGTTTGGTAGCTTAAGGATGAATAACCTTGTGAACCGTGGAGAACCATAATAAAAGGATGATGGTCCTCATGTGATGAAGTTTTTGGCTATAGAAACTCAAGAATACCAGTAGATAAGAGTGCTGGGCTTGGAGTTGGAAGTTTGAATTCAAATCTGGCCTTAGGCACTAACTGTGTGATAATGGACAAATCACTTAACATCTGTCTTCATTTCTTCAACTATAAAATGAGGATAATAATAGCACCTACTTCCCAGATTTGTTGTGAGGATCAAATGGGAAATTTGTAAAGCATTTAGCATGGTTCCTGGTATATAGTAGGTGCTTAATAAATGCTGTTCTCTCCTTTTCCACCTCTCCCCACTATGGTATGTAAGGATTTTATTCTATAGAAGTAAAATGAGTAGCCATACTGATGAAATACTATATCTTTTGAAGTTTTGAAGTAGCTGAAGATATGAATGATTAATAGCTTAGGTTAATAAGATATGAATGTATATATATATATATTTATATTTGTGCACATCAAATATATAACATGGAAATGTGAGAATCTCCTTTCCAGTACTATCTATAACATCTTGGTAGGTACATCAAGTAAATCAGAGGAGAGAAAGATATTTCTATTTTGGTGATTCCAAAGCACAGAACTTTGTTTTCCTCCTGCTGAAAGTCCTAGGCTACCTCTCCATGTATAAGTAGCAAAATGCTCTAGGAAGAAAAAAAATCATTACAGCTATCTTTCATGGTACTTCTTTTCCTCAAGAGTTATTAAGTAGGATCATCCCTATATATGACAACTTTCAACTGTTCTTCACAAGCCCTTAGTCAGAAGACTCTTCCTGACATGAGAGGTAGCTGTAGTATTTTGATCTGACTTACTGATCTCTGTTGCTATGACAGTAATGTTGTGCCACAGCAATGTTTCTCGGTCGAGAAGTTTAGAAGTAAAAATGGAACCATTTCCAGAATCAATGTTGAATATTCTGTCCATATCAGTGTGTCGATCTACAGAATACCTGAAATGGAGAGCAGAATTTAGAAATGATTTTCTCTTAACTGGTGTACTAATATATCTTAAGATTGCCACAAGGTACTTAGCAGAGTTATTACTTTATTGTTGGTTCCTATTCCAGAGTGTACAGATTCACATTAAGAAGTGTTTCAAGCTACTTTCTAGTATTTTTCTAAACATCACTTTCTAATGACAAGTTAAAGTATAGATTTAGATGGACTCTATAGTTCAAATAATTTGGGGGATTTTCAATGACTTGCCTTTTTGTATGAAATTTGTTTTTTGTTTTGTTTTGTTTTGTTTTGTTTTTTTTTGGTTAGGCAATGGGGTTAAGTGACTTGCCCAGGGTCACATAGCTAGTAGTGTTATGTGTCTGAGGCCAGATTTGAACTTAGGTCCTACCAAATCCAGGGCTGGTGCTTTATCTACTATGCCACCTAGCTGCCCCTTTTGTATGAAATTTGGAAGGAGATCTTTTAATAATTGTACTTATCTTGAACTTGGACGAAAGAATAGCATTTCTGTTTTGGTGATTCCAAAACACAGAACTTTGTTCTACCTGAACTTTTAATACCTTGACAATATTAAATGTCATGGAGTTGAAAGTCATTGAATTGATCACAGAAGAGCACATACAATCACATACAATATATCTTTTAAACATTTGTCTACTATAGTTAATAAGACTTTTCCCATAATCTATTTTAAGAAAACTAATATTTTAATAATTCATTTCTATATGGCACAGCCTATGGAATGTTGATTAACAAACATTATGAAATATTCTAGAATAATAGCATTTATTTGGTACCACTGGGGAATCATTATTGAGTAATCATAAGTTGATTTTTAAAATATTGAGCACCTACATTGTTTGCTAGACCCTGAGATTATAGAGCACTATAAGACAAAGTCTTTACCCAAAAAGATTATGGAATCTCAAAGATGAAAGGGTCCTTGTAGGCCATCTAATTTAACAGGTATCTGAGCAAGAATCCTCTGTAGCATTCATGACAAGTGGGTCTCCAGCCTTTGAAGTTCTCCAACGGGGATGGAGTCTGGAAGACTTACACGTGGAAAGGTAGCCTAGGTCTCCATTACCTCTGGAGGAAGACCATTGAACTTTGACTAGCTCTATATAGTTTTTCCTTTATCATACCCAAATTAATTTCATTTAATTTCCACAATTCTTCCTCTCCCCCTCCTCCAATTTTGCTTTTTGAGACCAAACAAAATAAATTTAATCCCTCTTTTATGTAATGACCTTTGAGATACTTGAAAATAGCTGTCATATATTTTTTCTTCAGGCTGATTTTATTTTTAAAAAAAATTATTGATTTTTTTTTACATTACAATTATTTAGACTTTATGCCCACTTTGTGAAAGTTCACTTGTAACAAAGTAAAACAGTGAAATTAAACTAATAATGCTGTGATATCATCTGAAAGTACATGACACAGTTCATATCTGTAGTAGCATCCAACTTCTCTATTAAAAAAATTAACAGCAATTTCTTTTTCACTCCCTGCCACTTCCCATCCCATTAAAAATTTTCTTATAACAAATATGCGTAGTCAAGCAAAACAAATTCTCTCAATCGCTGCATACAAACATATATGTTTGTACCTATATATACACATAATACCCACATATGCACATATGTGTGTGTATACATAAATTTTGCACCCTAAATCCATCACTTCTCTGTAATACATAGCATGTTTCATCATTGGTCCTTTGGAATCACAAATGGTCATTGTAATGATCATAGTTCTTACAGCTTTCAAAGGGGCTTGTTTTCAATGTTGTTGCTATGGTATAAATAGTTCTCTTGGTTCTGCTCATTTCATTCTTTATCAGTTTGTAAAAGTCCTCAAAATTGTTCATTTTTATAATAATTATGTTATAGTAAAAATTGTTCTTCTGGTTCCACTTACTTCCCTCTTTATCAGTTCATATAAGTCTCCCTATGTCTTTTTTTGAAATCATTTCTTTCCTTGTTTTTTATAGCACAATAGTTTCCTATCACATTCATATGCCACAATTTATTCAGCCATTCATCATTTGATGGACATCCTTTTTGCCACCACAAAAAGAGCTGCTATAAATATTTTTATACATAAAGGAGGACCTTTTCTTCTTTGATCTCTTTTGGGTATAGACATAGCAATGGTATAGCTGTTACTATACATATACATATACATATACATATGTAAACATATACACTGTTTAGAAACTCTTTATGCAAATTCCAAATGAGTTATACCCATTCACAGGCCCATCAACATAAATGTGCATTGTGCTTATTTTCCTACAACTCACTCCAAATTTATCATTTTCCTTTTTTGTCATCTTCATCACTCTGATGGGCATAAGGGAAAGGAATCTCAGAATTGCTTTAATGTATATTTCTGTAACTAGCAGTTGTTTGGGGCCTTTTTCATATGGGTATATATAGGCTAGATTTCTCCCCTTGAAAACTGTCCTCAGATCATTTATCAACTGAGGAATCACTCTTTTTCTTATAAATTGGAATCAGATCCTTATATATCTTGGAAATGAGACTTTATCATATAGAAACCTTCTACAAAGATTTTTTTCCACGTTAATTATTTCCCTCTTAAGTCTAGTCTATTTGGATTTGTTTATGCACAACCATTTAAATTTGACATAATTGAAATTATCCACTTTATCTTCTGTGATCCTCTCCATTCCTGTTTGATTGTGAATTTTTCTCCCATCTGTAGATCTGATAGGCAATTTCTTCCCCACGTTTCTCTTTGTTAATGATGAGACCTTTTATATCTAGGTGATGGATCAATTGAGCTTATCTTTCTATAAAATATAAGGTTCTGATCTAAATAAAATTTCTTTTATACTGCTGTTCCATTTTTCCAGTGATTTTTGTTAAATAATGAGGGTTTTGTGTTTATTGAATACTTGGGTATTAGATACATTTGCTTCTGTATTTTGTGTGCTAGGAGATACAGTGGGTCAGGATTCAGAAGGACCAAAGTTGAAATCTGGCCTCAGACACTTATTAGCTATGTGACCCTGGGCAATTCACTTAACCTCTATCTCACTTTCCTCATCTTCAAAATGGGGATAATAGCACCTTCTTCCCAGGGTTGTTGTGAATGTCAAATGATATAATATTTGTTATATTTGATATAAGTACTCTTTGCACAGTGCTTATCATATAGGTGCTTAATAAATGTGTGTTTCCTTCTTTCCTTCCTAATCTGTTCCTCTAGTAGATTTCTATTTTTTAAACCAACACCAAACTGTTTTTAACAAAATCATGTTGTAGTATAATTTGAGATCTGGTTCTGCTGGACTCCCTTTGTTCCCATTTATTTTCATTATTTTCTCTTGAGATTCTTTTTTTTTCTTTTTTTCTCTTGAGATTCTTGATTGTTTTTTCCCTCCATATGGATTTCACTGTTATTATTTTTTCTACTTCTACAAAGTAATTCTTTGGTAGTTTGATTAGTATGGCTTTGAATTAGTAAACGAATTTAAGTAGTATTGTCATTTTTATTACATTGTTTCATTCTATCCATGAGTAATTACTAATTTTTCCGATTATTTAGTTCTGTCTTTATTTCTGTGAATAGTTGTTTATAGTTACATTTATATAGTTCATACATATGTATATATGTATATGTATAGACTCCCAAGATTCTATGTATATAGAATCATAGACTTCCAAGTATTTTATAAATTCTATGGTAATTTTAAAGGGAATCATTCTTTCTATCTTTTACTGTTGGTTTTTATTGATATAATATAAAAATACTGGTGATTTGTATGAATTTGCTTTATAGCCTGCAAGTTTGATTTATATATACATGTGTATTCATAAATTTATATGACACACCTGTATATATACCATTTAAGTTTATATAGATATATATGAAGTGAACTAAAAATGCATAGTAAAATCATCATGTGGTGTCAAGAAAGGTTTCATGGAGGAGACTGCATTTGAGCTGTACACTGAAAGAAGGCAAGGATTAGGTAAGTAGAGAAGGGTATTTGAGGTAGGGAGAAATGGAAGGGATAAAGGTACTGAGGTAAAAACAGGGGAACTGTCAGGAGACAATAAGTTAACTCTGAGGCTTGTAGTAGAAGATTAATAATGACAACAATTCACATTGGTTTAGCATTTTAAGATTTGAAAAGTACCTTCTTCACAACCATAGCTGCTATATAGTAGTAATATTATTAATCATTTTATAGATGAAGACACGGAGTCTAGGAGAAGTTTAGTCTCTTGCCCAAGGTCATTACCCAGTAATCATCAAAAGAAGAATTTGAACCCAATTTTTCTAATTCTAAATCCAGCTCTTTTCCCCTACTACATCACGCCTCTCATGTTAAGGAGTAGTGAGAGATAGATGGAGAGGTAGATTGGCATTGCATTGTGGGGGTCCTCAAATACACAGATAATGACCTTAGCTTTTATCCTGTCCATAGTAGGAATTACTGAAGGTTTTTGAGTTAAAGTAGTGATGTGGTTCAGATAGTATTAGAAGAAAATTACTCTGCCAGTGAGAAGGAAGATTAATCATAGTGGGGAGAGAATAGATATAGTCAGGGAACCAGTTAAGAAGAGTTTAAAGTGGTCCATGCTTTAAGAAAATAAGGGCTCAAAAAGAGTGCTGGTAAAAGGACCTGAAATATGGAAAGTCATATTAAAAAGGAAGAATTGCTAGGCCATGGTAAAGGGACCAAGATTTAGTGACTATGAAAATGATAATACTACCTATGGTAATAGGTCAGTATGAAGGGGACAGTTAGGTTTTGAGGAAAAATCATGAGTTCCATTTTAAGACATATTGGGTTTGAGGTAATTATGAATATATGAATTATGGTACACTGCTGATTAATACCTTTAGTACATATTGATAGTAGAATCTAAGTCTATTTGCTTCTATACTGATGGTTCCAGATAGCTATGCTTTATGAGTTCTTTGTCTGCTTTTTACACTTTTTTACCTTCCTTGATGTCAGTGGGTTAAGGTCATTGCATCAGCCTCTAGCTACCCCTTTACTGTTGTTTAATTATCTGCTTTTAATCTGCCATGAATTGAGAAGCCAGATGACCATGTTTATGAGTATTGTGTATAAAGCAAGAATAAGTAGGTTCATAGTGAGGGCCTAAAAAGTATCTCCTACTTATACAATTATGGGAAATGTATTTTGGAAAAAAAGTCTTGGACTAGAAATCATAAGACCCAGACTCTTGAACAAGTCACTTAACCTATCTGTGTCTCTAGGTTTTAAAGGAAATGAAAGGTATTAAAGGAAATGATCAAACTAGTTGTCTTTTCCTAATCTCTGCTCCAGATTCAAAATACTCTCAACTGATATATGACTTTAATGAATTAGTTTTCTGACGGTTATTTTGTTTTCTCAAAAGTCACTCAGACCTTTCTCACTCCTATGTTCTTGGCTGCTTTCTGGGTATTTGATATTCCTGGAAATCCCTAGGTAAGTGAGATGTTGCTGAAATTTGAAAACAATAATATGGCAACATTTTGATTATGATTGTTATTTAGAAGGAAAACATATTTTTGAGTGTATAAAAACTGTCTCCTGGAAGTGTTAATGGAAATGCTTGTTTTGTTCCATGAACTGAAAATTAAAAAAAAGAAAAGAAAAAAGCAGCAGCATATAGGAAATGTGATGATATCAAGATCAAAACTTGACATTGAGGTCTACTGTAGTCTAGCTCCAGTCTACCTTTCCAGCCTTATTGCCTAATCTTTCCCCCTCTGTATTCTACAGATCAGCCAGACTGGAATGGACCAAAACAAATTCCATTCTTATGTACTTCCATATTTTTACTCACACTGTTTCTGTTTCTAGAACACCCTTTTTTCCATCATGACCTATTTTCTCATATCAAATATCCCTTTCTTCCTGAGGTCTATGCTGATCTCTCCCTCATCAATCTCATGGAACTTTGTGCTTCATTCAGGCACTTAGCACATTCTGAACTAGATTATATTTAGGTTTCTACATGCCAACTCCACTTTCTAGAATGGAAGCCCTTTGAGCACCAGGACTATGTCTTATTTATCCTTTATATTTTCCCTGGCATTTTATTGCTTTGCACATAACAGACATTTAATAATTGTTTTTCGAGTGTTAGATTATTTCAGATGGATTCCTAAAACTTAAATAACAGAAGATATTTTAAAATAATGGACTAGATAGATGTGAGATTAGAGTAAAGTTACTCAATTACTTATTTTTCCTTCACATGAAACTATCATGAGTACTCAATGATGACCTTACTTCCATATAATTACCTGATAAGAAAATGAATTTTTATTTTTATTGGAGAATTGCTCACCAATCACAGCTTTAGTTTGAAAATATAACCAAACTCTCCTGTTAGAATAGTTTAGCTATCACAATCTACTGCTCACTTTGTTATAAATGCTAATATTTTTCTTGATGGAATTTATTTTTTATCATTTAATGACCTGAGAAAGAGACATTAAATTAGCCACGTCCTTGAATGATATTTCTATTGAACTGGATTGGAATTGCATTCTTTTTTTTACTGGTATTTTATTTTTTATTATTTAAAATAATTAACTCAGATCTGATTAAATTGGCATTGATTCCATTTATGGATCAAAACTTACTAAGAGCAAGTATGACAGTATCAAACTTAATGTATTATTTTTTGATTTTAATTTGAGCATAAAGATAATTTCACTTTGCAATAAATGAAAGGGATAATGGATATTTATAAATTCAGTAACATATGTTAATAAATATCTAAAATATTTCCTTGCTCCATGAAAAATGACATGGTCAAGTTCTTTGGTCATTATATTTAATAGCTAGTGTACACAAATACAACATCACCCTTCCTTATTTATTTTTGGCCTTCTTCCATCCCCAGCCTCAGGTTTTATAAACTAGGCATAATGCATCAAATGAAGAGGTTGGATTAGAGGTCATCCCCAGCTCCAAGACCTATCATTCTCAGACCCAAAATGTTAGTAAAGAGGTCAGGGGGGTTCTTGATCTTAAAGAGAAAGAAAGGAATCAGTTTTGAAATACCAAAGCTGTCTAGTTGTTGTCTTCCCTCAAAAGACATTTTTCCAGTGAAGAATTTTAAAATTATTGATAAATCCAAAGTATGAAATAATACACATATTCATATATGTAAATGTGTAATATTTGCAAACATAACCACGCAATAACATGTCCTCTCCTTCTCTCCTTTTCTCCTTCCCTTTCCCCCTCTCTCTTCTTCTCTTTCTCTCTGTCTCTCCTCCTCACCCTTCACTATTTTATGCTCATTAAGATAGCTGCTGAATTGGATTGGATTGGATGGATTCATCCAGGCAGATTAATTACAGACTCTACCACTACTAAATTTGGCAATTGAGCCACTCGAGGCTCTGGCAGATATTCCTGCCAAGTATAGCCTTATGTATGTCTTGTACTCTATTACTTCCCAAGTTTCAGCAGCTTCTCATCTGATACTATGAGCAGCCAGGATAATTTGTGGGTCAGGAAGAGGTGTGAGTATTTGTGTGAATATTCTGTAGTACATTTTTATATAGGTGTTTTAGAAAATTCTCTCATGGAAGTTCAATGGAGGTTTCAGTTAAAAGTTTTGATATAAAAGCATTCTCTTTCAGTGAGGTTACACCTGTGTGATATGACAACAAATATTTTGAGAGAGGAATTAGCATAAATATCAATATTGGCAAGACTTTCCTAACCAATCTTGCCCTAGCAAATATTTCAATGCAATATAAATTGGTCAGTGAGTCAATAAACATTTATTAAATAACTACTATGTGCCAGGAACTATGCTAAGTGCCAGTGGGGATACAAAGAAAGGCAAAAGACAGTCCCTGTTCCTATGGAGTGCACAGCCTGAAGGGGTAAACAACATGAAGACAACTATGTACAAACAAGCAGGACAATGCTTGCATGCATTGACATGCAGGACAAATTAGAGACAATCAGTGTTGATGTATTGCATTGCATCAAGGAAAGGTTTCTGGAAAAAGTCCTCATAATTGGCTTTCAGCAGATCAGATTTGGTCAGCTGCTTATTTCTTTGTGGGACAATGCAGGAGGTAGAAATGGCATTTTTGAGACAAATAAAAGCATAGAATATGAAAATTTACTTCATATTGACAAAAACTTGGACAACTGAAAGACTATTTTTCTGTTACCATGATACTGATTGATAAATGAGTAATCAATAAATTGGGAAATGATCATTTGCTCATATTTGTAATACAGCCAGTTAAGCCTGAATTTGGTCTTATCTATTTGCTAGGAATGATGGGGTATATTTGGATTACTTTGCCAGACTCTATAGGTATATACATTGATTTTCTGCTTATACTTTCTTAGCCTAGGACACATCTGCTAATGATCCCTTTCTCTCTTGGGCAGCAGTAATTTAAGGCTTAAGGGTTGGGGGGGGTGGAGAAAGGGGAAGGATGGCAGGAAGTAATACCCTTTAATCCTGAAAACCTTAAGTTTAGTTTCCTAGAGAAAAATGAAAAAGCAACAAAAGTCTCGTTTCTACTTTCAGGTGAGACAGCAAGCATGCTAATCTGTCTGAGGGTAGGAACTGTAGTTGTTTTTAATTTGTTTTGTCTTTGTATTCCCAATACTTAGTACAGTACTTTGCATGTAGCAGGTACTTAATAAGTATTTGTTAAAACAGCTTTTAAAATTTTAATTGATACAAAAATACAAGGAATTCTCAACAATGCTACTATAACTATTAATTTTACTTTGAAGTGTGGTTTGAACCTTTGATCTTGGATTTTAATGATTGCCCTTTATGCGTAAGACTGGTATAACTCAGGGTCTTCAAATATACTATCTTGGAATTTTGCATAATCAATTTTATTATCCCTTTAAGATTAGGATCTCCATTTAAGTAAGATATTTTTAGAGCACAGATTATCTTTTGGATACTAAGACATGCTTTACTTTTGGACACTAAAAAATGCTTTACATGGATCCCTTGCATCTTACCTCTATTACGTTAGCCCTCCAAATTAGCACAATTCCAGGAAGTAACTTAGACCCTGAGAATTTGGTTCAACCATTATATCACTCTGACCACTGCCAAAAGGTGAAGATTCAGACTAGATGCTTTCTCAGGCTTCATTTTAGCTCTGTTAGTTCGTGATTCCAGCACTCTCATGTACTGGCCGGTTTGAAAGTATTAATATAGCTTCCATTGGCGCATATTTTATGAACAGAGAAGAAGTACGGTACAAGAAATATCAGGTTCATTTTCTTGTATGGCAAATTTTAAATCAGCACTCTTTCTTTCCCCAATGCTATACACATATACCATGCATTCTGTTGTTGTTATTGTTTTCAGTCTGTGAACAGAAAGTATACTCAAATAAAACGTGGGCAGATTTGGGGATAAAGAAAGATCGATCACAGAAAGATAATATAACAGTATTTTGCTTACTTGACAGGATTCTTGGCAGCATCAGGGTCCTGGGCTGACACTGAGCCTATTGTACTGTTTATCTGAGCATCTTCTCTTATTTGCAGAACATAGGCTAGTTTACCAAACACAGGAGGTTCGTCGACATCTTCCACCATGATCCTAACTGTGGCTGTATCTTTAAATGGGCCCAAGTAGAGGAAACGGGGCTCCACACGTGGATTGGAAGCTTCCACTTTGAGGGTATACAGTTTTTTCTTTTCAAAGTCCAAAGCCTTGGAAGAAAATTGACATTAGTATTACAGCCACCCAATAACAAGAAACATAATTTGGTTTCGGTATAATTTGCTTAAAAAGTAACACAAGACATATGACAAATAGAAAGCTTTAAAAACTAATGGGGTTAACTGTGTCAGGTGATTTCCCCTCACCCCTATTCTTTCCCTATTGGTAACATCAAATAAAAATTTTCCTTATAAATGTAGTGTGTCAAGGTGTTAACCCCTCTCCTTTCAGTGTGTGGGGTTAGGGTAGTTCCTAAAGGACATTTCCTAAGTAGGAAGAAAGTGATGCTGTGCTCTAGGGTGGGAAGGGAAATGCATGAACATATACTGAAAGACAGGCACAGTTTTCACTGGTAATGAAAAGGCAGCCTGTAATCTGCTCATGAACCACCTTGGGCATGTGGGCTGCCAGCTGTGGGTTGCTCCCCCATCCACAGGATCCAAAAACCATAGATCTAGAACTGAAGGGGATTTCAGAGACCATTTAGCCCAACTTCCTCATTTTTGGATGACTGCACAGACACAGAAGATGCAGAATTTTATCAGGTAGTGAGATGAAACATTTTGAATGATATCGTAAGGAGCGCTGCAGGACACTCTCCTCCCCTTCCTCCCCAGTCCCCTCATTAAACAAAGACAGTAATGACAGTAGTTATACAAATTGCTTAGGACAAGAATCTGTTTCATGATTTAAAAAAATTCATGATCTACATTGACTTCTTTAGAATGGAAAGAGATTGGCAAAAGGAGACAAGCCTCATCATGAACTCAATTACTTAATCCTTTACTGAAAATCATTCAGTCTACTAGATAAAATTCCAGTTTGCATCTGATAAGGTACTAGAGACTAAAGAACATTAATGTTCACTAATGGGTTTACTAATCGTGTTATGGTGTAAAATGCTGGTCTGAGGAAAATCAAAACATGTTTTAGTGTGTTTTCAGATAATGGAACATGTAATTCAAAGCTGCAGAGTTTGAAATTCATGTTACTTGAAGCCAAGAGCACTGATATTTCTGAGGCAGTATGGCAAACTTACAAGAAGCTGGAAAGACTTTAAGTCATCAGCAATAAAAGAAAGCCATATTGAACAAATCACAAAATCAGAGAGCAGTGATTTTCCAGCCTCAGTTTACAACCTGCCTTAAAATCTGCATCACACACTTTGTACTGCATGGGTTACTTATTTCTATCATTCTTTGGGCTAAGTCATTTTTTTCTTTATCACACAAAATAACAGATAATGGGAAAATGTGATACAAAATGACAGAAGTGCATCTTTATGTTCAACTGGCAGTACTGTGATAGATGTAAGTGCCTATGTACACATAACTGCCTTGCCCATGTTTGGTGACCAAAAGATTTTTAGAAGTATTCTGTGGTGAAACATATCTTACAGGCTATTGCAAGTCCAGACTAATAATGTATTATTTATTTTTATGATCCTGATTAATTTGTTCTTAATACCCTGGGTATATCATGCCTGCCTAAGGGCAGATGTTTATTCAGGGCTCCTAAACTAAAGAGGTTTCAATGTATGTTAAAAGAGGTTTATTGTAGTGCCAGTGTTCAGTAACCACCAATGAAAACTGACAGTAATCATTTATAAAAAGACTATTATATAATATACCTGTAATACAGAGAACCATAATAGCACAGTTCTGCTGACTTTGAAAACAGAGAAAGGCAGCTGAACAAAATCTCACCTTTTTGACAGTGATAATTCCTTCCTGTGTTTCCTGGTCAGTGATAACATCAAACATGTCTAAACCTTCTCCATCAGTGATGCTGTACTCAATTTCTGCATTTTCACCAATATCAGCATCAATTGCTTTGATTCTGCCAATTGGTGTACCTGGAAGGGCTGACTCAGGAGTTTTAAACTGGTAAGTGCCTAAAAGAGATGGGAAGAGAGACAACATAAAATGAACATAAGTTCCTTGAAGGTTTTGTTTTTGTCTCTGTATCCCAAGTGCCAAGTAGAGTGCCTCATGCAAAATAGATGCATAATACTTGTTAAATTAAATTGGGGGTAAAATGGTAAGAATCAATAAATTACGGAAAGAGGGAAGGATTTGAAAAAGAAGAACTCTAGCTATGAATTCTCCCTCACTATTTACTCACTCTATGACCCTGGACAAGTCACTGAAACCTCTTAGAGCCTCCTTTTCTCATCTCTAGAATGGGGAATGATGACAGCTGGATAACCACGGTAAATACATACAGAGTTGTCGTGAAGCTCAAAAGCAGTAATGAATGTAAAGTACTCTGCAGACTTTGAAGTGCTCTAGAAATGCCATTTATTCTCAGAACAATAATCTGGGTTCCCTTCACTTATAAACCTGTACTTTCATGACTATTAAGAAAAATGTACTGAAATTTGCAATGAACCTTTTCTAAAAGACTGCATATTTTTCTTGTCCAGAGAGTAGCTTCAGTAGATTCTAACTGCAGGTATTAGGACTGCTTAGAATGGAACACTCAGGAAAACAAAAACCTTTGAATTACTAAATCATTTCATTTAAAGAGACAGAAAATAAAATTCAATGTAAATTCAATACTTTGAGACTACTACAAAATCTATGAGTGTTTATAAGTGAAGGTATAATATGCATATGTATAAATATGTACATACTTATAATAGTTGTATATAAAAGTAAAATTTTTCACTTGATGGTTGTCTAACTTTTAATAATATAAAATTTTTAGTGTGTATGTGAGGCTAAAGTAAATATGTATATATTTATACACACATATGCATAAACTTTAATAGCTAAAATTACACTAAGACTTTTGGGACATCCTATACAGGATACAATAATTTTATCAGAAGTTCATGGATAGAGAAAATTTTTTCTTAAAAGAAACCACTTTCCAATTTCCAATGTCACTGCTCAAATCAGTCACAGAATAGGAAAAAAAAATTATGATAAATAATAGACTAAAATTCCAGCTACAACTATGTGAGAATTATAGAATAAAAAAATGTTAAAGCTGTGAAGAATGTCTGAGATGATTTTCTTTCCAAGAAGGAAATTGAGGCCCAGAGAAAGAAAGTGACTTGTTCAAGTTTATGTAGCTAGTAAGTGACAGAGTAAAACAAGGATACAATGTTTTTTTATTCATAGTCCAGCTATTACTATTACAAACCTAAAAATAATAATATATCCTTGCCTCAAGACATTGTGAGGATTAAATGAAATTCTATAATTAGCCAAAACCCATAAAACACAAATAAAACAATTCCTTAGTGGTCAGTAATATATTTATACATATATTCTGGAGTCATAGATTTTTGCCTGTAGTATAGTCTGTCTGATGAGGAAGATAAAAACAAAAATGTTTCTCTTAAATGACTGGTTACACTGTTCATTTCTAATGCCAATCATTACCTAATATAAAACACTAATACAAACACTATTATATAATTATAATGTTATATAATATGTAATTATGTTACATATAATTATTAATATTATATAACATATATTATATAATATAAAACATCAGAAACAGAAGTCATCACCATCAACTTAAGTGTAGACAATACACTTAAATCTTTTTAATGACAGTACTCATTGGGTTCCTTTTATTTGTAACAATGAGCACACAGTTTATAACAGGGCTTTACAAGAACTTTAATCTGTCAAGTATCCATACTCTGAGGAAAACGAGGAGGATTATCATTCACGTCAGTGAGGGTAATATTCACTGTGGTGGTCCCAGATAAGCCTCCCATCTGGCCTCCCATGTCCTTAGCTTGAATAACCACTTGATACTGCTCTCGATTTTCTCGATCCATGTTGAGCAACGCTGTTTTTATGATGCCTGCAAATATTAGAATTCAGAAATGGGGAGACATGTAGACACTATTGATTTACAAAATGCATCAAAAGATTCATCATTATATAATCATTAGCTACGGCTAGAAAAAATATTGTGCCACAATTCAGGTCATCAAATTATGATAAATTCCATGTGGCATTTTAGGATGTTAGCTGTGTGATATGACATCTAGAAATAATATAAGACCTTAAGCAATGTCACATATTATATTGATCTTATTAAATCCTTTAATTTTCCTCCTGACTTACACCATTTTCTCATTTAATTGACTGACAGTTAAATGTGCCTCATATTACCTAGCAGCACGTAGTGCTTTTTCAGATTTGCAAAGTGCTTTACAGGCATTATCTCCTTAGATCCTTACAACTTTGTGAGGCAAGTTCTATTATAATTTCTATTTTACAGATGGGCAAATTAAACCCAGAAGAGAGGTTAAATTATTTTCTCAAGGTCACAACCAAGCAGTATTTAAAGTAGGATTTGAACCAAGGTCATCTTGGTTCCTACTCCAGAACTCTGTTCATTATACAATGCTGCCTCTTAATGCCTAATATAATGAACATACTTTTTAGGATTTCCCAAATCAACACTGGGAAAAAATGGAAACATTTTCCTCAAAATTATGAAAAAAAATCACTAGACTGTGGTTAGAAGACCTGAGTTTGAGTGCCATTTCTGTCACGTCTATCTTCGTTAACAGATAGTTAAGTTAACTCCATCAGCATTCTGAACTGGAGATCTATAAATTGGAGGTAAATAAAACTTGCACTATCTACCTTTGAAAACTGTTAAGACCTGTGTAAATGTGAACCACCACCACATTCATCATGACTATTGTCATTAGAATGTTAGAACATTTAAAGTTTTCCTAGAGATGATTACAGGCTGGGTTCCCAGTAGTGGAGGGATATATTATTATCAGAGAATCATAGAAAACTTAGTTTGGAAAGATTTTCAAAAGTCAGCTTGTCCTCTGAAAGGAGTATTATCTTACATTGTTAACACCCTATCAAAGATCACCAGAGAATATGATCTATTTTTCCTTGGTAATACATTGCAGCAATGCAACTATTTCTTAAGAGGACAAAAAATACCCCTCTCTTTTTTTTTAAAATGAACTCTTCACTTTAGTGTTCAAACTTTTTTTCTGATGTTGACTTTAGGGAGAAGTAAACAGGCTGCTTACCATAATTTGATCCTTCAACTATTTAAACATAAGCTAAATAATCATTGTTGGTTTTTTTTTCCCATTGTCACCTCACCCTTCTGATTTTCTACTGAACTTTCTTGAAGGTCATACCCAGTCTGAAACAGTGGCAGTAGTGCTGGATTTAGAGTCAGAAAGAGTTCAGTTGGAATCCTACCTCTGCTACTTACTGTGTGACCTTGCATAAGTTACTTAAACTCACCAAACTCAGAAATAATATATTTAAAATAATTTCCATTTAAGAATCTAGCTATCATAAGACAGTTTGTTAAATTTGGTAAAAATGCTAAAAAATTGAATGTTCAAAGGGAGAATTCATCTATTTCCTTTGATTCACAGGGAAAGTTTTGGCTTTCAGTCCCATTCCATCATAAACAAATAATTAAAATTATGTGTAATTTTTGTTTTAAAATGGTTGAAAGAGGATTTATACATAACATTTTAATTACATTTATTACACTATGCTTTTTTGATTAAAATAATTCATATGTCAGATTTGCACGTTTGTTTTATTATGAGGAAGATGTAAGCATTTTGATGTTTTTATATAACATATACTAGATTGGTTTATCATGTTATTTAAATTAGTTATATTGTAAGGGATTGAATGGTAAGAACTTCTAACCTGTCTCAGATTCAACTGAAAAATAAGGTTGTCCTTGGAGAATACTGTAGACTACTTTAGCACTGTTCCCATAGGTGGGATCGTCAGCATCAGTTGCAGTGACTTGAACAACAAAAGTGCCTGGAATGAAAGAAAAATGAATTTTTGTTGATTTAAGAGATAGGATATTACATTTTTAAAAGCTAGACACACATCAAGCGAAAGCAAAATCTTACCCTTGAACACAGCCACACTATGTCATAATTTAGTGTGCAGTAAGTAAAGTAAGAATTACTAACAGCTAGGAAAGGTGCAGGGAATGCAATTTAGATAAACAGAGGGATGGTACAATTTTGTTAAGAAGGTAAATTTAAAATATTTGAACTTCTCAGTGTCTCAAGAAGGATAATATGATGAAAGAAAACTGCACTGGGGATTAGCTATTAGTCTATTACCAATTCTGCTAATATTAAGTTCCTACAATGTACCAGGCACTAAGATATAGAGGAAAAAATGAAATGGTCTCTGACCTCAAGGAGTTTACATTCTATTTAGGGAAACAACAATAAAAAATGTGTACACTTTTTTTTAATACACTTTCAATACAAAGAAATTGGTGGGAAGAGGTGCTAAATCACTATATAGTTTCAGGCAAGTCAATTAACATTCCTAGGACTAAATTTCCTTTTCTGTAAAATTGGATGAGATGACCTCAAGTGTACCTTCCAACTGTACCATTCTAAGATTTAGTAAATATAAGGATTCAAACAATATATGTCAAAACCTGTCAAATTGAGAAAGATACAGATAAGGAGGAATATCGACTTGCTCACTAAAATCTGGGACACTAAAACTAGGAGGAGTAGCTTGACCCGTGAAAAGAAGTAGTTTTTGATTAATAAAGGGAGAACAACTTTATTCAGTTGCTAGTAAAAAATATAAAACCCGCTGTCTCAAGAAGTGTGTTATGAGCTACATATATTCACTGACTTGTAATGAGTCACCCTTGGGTACACTACTACTGCCCTTCAGGGTACGAAGGGGAGAAGTAAATTCATAATGTTTTTATGCCTGTTTAGGATGAAATGAACTTAGTTTTTGAGAGTAACTTTTGATTACCCTAATAAATGTTATTCTTTGATCAATCTTTCTTTTTAATTGGTGAGAACTACTTTCTTTCTCCACTTAAACCTATTCATTTATGCCTCTTTAATGTATTTCGTATAAAGATAATAATTTTCATTTGTCTGACACTCACTGTAATTGCTCTTTAATCTGATCATGAGGGGATGTTATTTCCTGAATTACCTTTTCTCCAAAAAGTTTTTATTCATATTGCAATTGTTTTGCTCATGAATTCTGTTTGCCAGAGAAAAAATGCAGATAATGAAACCTATCATGGCCAAAATTCTGCTAAGTTACACACTATTTCAGTGAATTGAATTGTTGCAAGCCTGGTAGATCTGCATAAGTAGACTATAGGATTTATGATCTCACTTCCATAAAGACTATAAAAAGCTTTCTTTTTATTATTTCAGCATTCTAAAATGGGGCTGTAAATTTTAATGAAACTACAAAGCAAACATATAAGTTGTTTTGATTCTAGTAGCATCGCAAAAGAGGTCTCTTGATAAGGTTTGCAGTTACAGCAGAGTTTTTCTTAATTTAACTTTCCTTTTTACCTTCCCCTAATTTAGAAGAATGAAATCCCTAAGTATTATATTCTACATGGGTAGTGAGAGTCATGAACAAAATATTAATTTAACATGTCAAGTGTTGTGACTTTCTCTTAACCTCCTTGATCACTGACCAATGTTCCCCCTGATTATCATTTATATATCATGCATTTTTAAAAGCTTTCTTTGGTTTTATTTCACAAACACATATTTATTTATGTAATGGCCTAGTCTATCAATGTACTTTTTGGATTTTGTTTTCCATTAGCAATTGTTCTTACCTTGAGAGTTGTGGGATGCCCTTTCCCTATTGTCCTTTTGGGGTGTTGAAGACTGAGTCCTACTGGGATAATCAGGAGAAGGTGATAAAAGTATTTTGCAGAGAGTGAGAAAGCTCCTGTGTCCCAGACTCAGAAGAATATCAGGAAGCAAGGAAGGGGGAAGAGTTTTCAATTCCAGTAAGAAAGGGGACCAGGAACCTCTTCCTTTCATTGTCTATCTCCTTCACTCAACTCCATTCTTCTAATAAATTAGAGCAAGCATTCTCTTCCATGATTTGTGGCAGATAAATCAAGGATAACACTCTTGCACATTGGACCAAGACTTGGAGCCAAGGATCAGTTTAAAAGGACTTTAAATGAGATTTTTGGACATTTATTTTTTTAAAATTTAGTGATTTAATTAATCTAATCAGCTAAGTTTCTTGATTAGATTAAATTTTTATAGGTAAAATAAACAGATAAATTGGGCTGATGATTAAGATATCACTCACCAACATCAGACATTTCAGGAACAGTAGCAGTGTAAACATCCTTGGTAAACATTGGCTCATTATCGTTGATATCATGGATTTTTATGATGAACTCAGACTCTGGTTCTACTGGTCTTCCTGTTCTTCTGTTTATAGCCTGTGCCCTAAGGATATACACAGGCTTTTCTTCCCTGTCTAGTCTCTTGGTGGCCTGGATGTCCCCAGTGTTTTCATTAATAATGAAGAGATCTCCAGCTCCATCTCCTGAAAGGATATATTTAAGTGATCCATCTCCTCTATCTTGGTCTGAATGTAACTATATAGGAAAAAGAAGAAAAGGTAAAATTTTTTAAAAATCTCCCAAGATTATGACATATAATTTGATAGCACTCATTCATTCTCATCTAAAATTTTCTAGGATATTGCATTTTTTGTTGTTCTTTTGTACCCTCCCTAGTAAATTAACCTCATGATTAGATGAGGAATGTTTCTAATCCTAGAACAGTTGGATCTCAGCTTCCTTATTTTATAGAAAAGAAAAATGATAACAAGAAAGGTTAAATGACTTGCTCTGGGTCACAGCTTGTCACTAGTATAGCCAGGACTGGAACCTGGTAGTCTGAGTGGGACTTTGGAAGACTTTTTCTTTGCTAAAAGTATGAGAAAAGAAGGAAGTAGAGGAGACTAATCACTAGTCTCCAGGACCTAGAATCCCTTTTCTCATATTCACTTTAAAAATAAATGTCAAACTACATATTTAAATCATTTTAATTCTTTGTACTAGTTCTAATTTTTGTACTAGTACTTTTCATTGATTTTCTGCTGACTCCAGGTCTCTAGACCTGGAAGACTTATGACAGCCCTCCCCATTAGCACTGACTTGATTTATGAAGTATGTATTGAATTCTCATTTTAAAAAATGAGATAGAATGAAAGCTTCCTCAGGGCAGGAACTGTTTTATTTTTGCCTTCAACTGCCCATCACTGAGTATGATGCCTGTCACATAGCACATAACACATTTAATAAATGATTGTTGATGGGGAAAAACAGAAAAAGAGAAAACACTAATATGTTCTTGCCCTAACCCCAATGGTGTAGCTAACCACATTGTGTTTGGGGGCTCTTTTTCAATCTCCAGGGGCAACTCTAAAATTTAAGGTTTTCATACCAGTTACAGATATTTTAGGGTGCTGAACCCTGATGCAGAGTTTCCGAAGTTGCGGGTCACTGGTGCTCTCTTATTTTCTCACATTTTTACCACAGAAAAGCACCAAAAGTATTTCACAGCACATCAGATAATCTAAAACCAGTCACAGGCTGGTTTTTATTTAGAAAAACTGAATTTGAAACTAAATGTTCAGGACTACCATGCAGCTATAGAAAGGCAGCACATTATTATTTTGCTGTGTAGTTTTCATGGAAAAGGCTATGCTGAAAGGACTCATGATGAAACATGCTATCCACCTCCACATAAAGAACTGACAGATTAAAAGTGTACATTGAAACACACTCTCTCTCTCTCTTTATCTCAGCATTGTTAATGCAGAAATCTGTTTTGCATATACATATTTGTAAAACTTACCTGTTTATATGTAATGGGTTTTGTTCCTCTTGCCTTCTCAATGGATGGGTTAAAGGATGGGGGAAGGGAGAATATTTAGAACTGAATAAAAATTTCTCTGCTTTAAAAAAAAGAAAAATCAATACTGGTCTAATTTCTACATAAATCTCACCAGAAGATAATTAATACTCAATTGAATAACTGAAGTTGCTACTGGCATGAAATTTAAAATAAGGATATTAGGAGATAGATTGTAACCTTCTTGTGGGCTTGGCTTGTATTTTGCTTTATCTTTGCATCCTCAGTGCCTACCATGATGCACTTAAAAAATGTCCATTGAACTGAATCTCCTACTCTACCCACTCATTTTAATCTGTAAGGAAACTGAGGGCTAGAGAGAGCTTATATGATTTGTCCAAGAGCAAACAACTAGTTGCTGTGACTCAGGGAAGATTGGAAGGGTATTCGAATCCTCAAATATCTGAAGGACTGTTATGCAAAAGAATTAAACTAATTCAGCTTGGCCCAAGAGGGTAGAAAAATAGGAAGAATGAGTAGAAGGTGTAGGAAGGCTGATTTAGGCTTTTTGTAAGGATGGCTTCCTCACTATTCAAAAGCAGAACAGGCTGCTCCCAGAGGAAACATTTTCTTCTTAGCCTGGAGGTCTTTAAACACAGGGTGGATATTGTATAGGGGGATTTTGGAGAAGTGCAAATTGGGCTAAATGACTCTTAGGTCCTTTTTTGATTATCAGATACAGTGATTCTGTGATGATCTTGAGATTTATTTACCACCTTATGCTGATATCATGATAGAAAATGTCAAAAGCCAAAGAACCATCAAGTATAGGGTTTCCACTTGAATTTCTCTAAGTGGTTATAAATTTGTTTATTAGTTTGGGGAAAAACAAGAGTGTTTTGTTATTTATACCTTTTGGAAGCAATCAGGTGGGAACAAAAGGAAAAGAAATCTAAGGGGAATTGCATAAAAGTGAGAAAAATAAAGAGAATAATGTAAATGGAGATGTGCTAAGGAAACCTTAAAATATGACTATAGAAAAAATAATATGGTATCAGTGGAAATTACCCTGTATTGGGAACCAAGAATTTCATATTCTAGTCCCAGATCTACCATTAGGTGACCTTGGTCACATCTCTTGGACATCAGTTTCCTTCTCTGTAAAATGAAGCAAGTAGACTGAATATCCTTTCTACTTCTATGACTCTGGTCAGCTTCTTAGCCCATCAGATGCAGCACCAGAGAAAGTTTAATTTTTTCATCAGTTTCTAAAGACTGAAAAGATCATTAAAAAGCTATTTAATTAACTCAAAAACAACAGCTAGTTTAATATTACCCAAGTCAAATATACCCTCAGTTGTGAGTCTATGTGATCATTTGTTCTCTTATAAATGAATGTCAGTTCATATACTTGCTTTGAGAACTTGGCTCTGATGACTTTGAAACATACTTTCTACGTATAGGTCATAACAAACATAGTGCATCTTCAGTGTTAAAATCTGATATCAAACCCATTACGTTTTCATTGGGCATAAATTGGTGTCTGCACCTCTGATTTATTTGTCTATATTCAATTATCTATATTTGTCCTTTACCGGATATCTATCATGACCACTGACAAATAATCACAGCACATTTAGTGGCTGAAAACTATGTCTGGTCAAAGGATTTATTCAGATGAAAGTAATCTGAAACTTATTTTTAGCTGTCAAGATGGACCATTTTGATGACTTATAGAATATACACTTAAGACAGCATAAAAGGAAGGAAGAGAAACCAAATAGTATGTACTGGGAATATATTTGAGATCCTGGACTTGATTTATTAATATTTGAAAACTTGTGGAAATATCATCTTTTTACCCCAACAGTCTCCAATAGTGAAACCATTAAACCTCATCATTCAAAGGTATAGTACCTATATACCCTGGAATATAACAGGCTCCAGTGACTATTTATTTTTATTCTTTTTCCTTTCCCACCTCCATTTCCCTTACAGTGCTGTCCCCTTCTGACATTTGCTTGGGGAAAGACAGAAGCAATGACACTGCTAGTGACTTTATAGTGACAACAATGAGACATTAGTGGCTTATTGAACACTCTGATTTTAATTGTTTTTTTCCCCCTTCTGTGATGTCATTTATCATAGCCACTGTAAAAGACAGAAGTTAAACAATAACAAATAAAAGGTTGTAGACTGCTTTAGGCATGTATTTACTAATTTCAGTATAATGTTGTTGTTCCATTAAGCTTAATCATCTGGTTCACTCTTAATGATTTGCCATCAAGTAAAAATTAGCCAGCACCCTCAGAATATTGCATCTGTGAGCCAGGGGACAAGGTATCTTTTTACTAAGATACCTGATCACAATTTATTTTTGAAGGAACTCTTATTTTTCTTTTTTTGGGGGGGTTTACTAATTTATTCATAGGATCATAGGTTTTCAGCTTAAAGGGACCTTAAATTTCATTTAGACACTCATTTTACACATAAGGAGATTGAGGCCCAAAGAGGTTGTGACTTTTCCCAGTGTCACATAATTAGTAAAGGAAAAGGCAGGGACTTGAATCCAGAACCTTCAACTCCAGAGGTAATATTTTCATTCTACCATGTTCTTTTATCCACTCTACCATTTTGTTTTGTTTTGAGTAATAGCTTGGCATATATGGCAATGAGCATGACCAAATGAAATAGGTAGCTAGAGCAAAGCCAATTAGACATTTCACTCCTATTATTTATGGTTTATATCCACTCTATCAATAGAATTTTGAACCAAATTCAAAGTTATTATTCTATTCCAATGGCTTCTTAATGGTTTTAAGGGCTAACTAATGTGCAATACCTTTCTTATTAACTATGCATGATTGACTCCCTGACTTTGTCAGTAACCAAAGTGAATCTTTAAAGAATAGGAATTATTTTGATTGAACATACTAGTTCATAAATAATAGCCTAATTTGGTTACTAAGTATAAGTTGTCTAGTATAGTATAAAGGATGCTCTGTAAAGAAATCCAGCTTTTGCTATATGTTACTGTATTCTGAAAAGTTGTTTATGGCTGTTACTTTTCAACCATTTGTGGAATTTTTTAATATAAATATTTAGAATATGAGGTCATTCTTTGAGATGCAGGAATCAGTCAGAGAGAGGCTGTGGAGAGAAATGAGAGTTTAACTAGAGTTGTAATCAGGAAATGAAAACTATATCCATAGCAAGAACCTCGCTGGGCTAAAGACATCACTTTTTAAGAGAGAAAATATCTTTAATCTAGTTAAGTTAATAGGGCCTTAACGGAATCAAACCAGCATAATGTTAATGAGCACAGCAAACACTGTAAGGGCTTGCAAAAAGAATGATAGCTGCATTTAGAGTCAAGAAGAAGGAGTGACTGTTTCTTTTTCTTATATTACACAGAGATTAAATCTCTGAATGAAGATTTATTTAAGTGGGAATGTATTTTATTAGACACAGTTTCTGATTTAAAAAAAAAAAAGCTTCCTTACTTGATACTTTTAACCAACTCTGCAGCCTATTTTATTTTTCTTTGCCACAACAAAAGTCTTGCTGGAATGTGTAAGAGCTATCAAGATAATAAACTGACTCAAAGTACTTAAGAGCCTATGTTAACAGAACATGGTATAGATGAGAACTACGTCTATCCTTGCCTAAGACACAGCCTAGCTAAGCAGAGAAGTTCATCATTAGAAGGTTGATCATTAGGTAACACATTTTGGGA